TTTTAAGTTTTAATTAAAAAAAACACAAATTTTTCTCCCAAATAAAAAAAAAAAATAAAATTTAGTTTTTTTTTTTTTTTTTTTTTTTTTTTTTACCTTGGATAAAACAAAAAATCAACTTTGTGTGAGGACCTACAGTATATCACAGCATACCACGAGTTTCAAATATGTTTAAAAAATATAAAAATCCATCAGAAGGTTTGTATGGATTGAAATCCTTTAATGGAGATGCCAGAGTGGATGGAGTTATTTCCAGTCACTCTTTCAACATTTTTCCCCCTACTGCACCTACTGCTGTGCACTGCCGGTCAGCTGTTTAAAATAAAACTAATACCGCTTCCTTGGACTTTAGGAAAGGACAGCCACAAACTGGAAACTAAGAGTGTCAGCAAACATTATTATTCATATAACACTGTTTTAAAAGCATAGCTGGCAAGCTATGAGCAGCATGTTTGTTAGCAGGCTGTGCAATAAGCACATTTACTTGAAAACAATTACCTAATGTAGTGGGTGTTTATTCTAAACTTTTTTTTATTCTTTTATAGAAATCAAGACAACAATAAATACATCTAGTAAATAATATTTTACTGTCAGAATTTTGATTTAAATCTTTATGTTAGCACAACAAAACCATCCAAATGTGATTATGAAAACCAGGACATGCCTTAAGTTAATGCTTACTTCACTTACAAGTTCTGAAGCGGCTGCATTAGAATAGAAATAAAAATGCCTTCATCCTAATTGGCATAGTCGTATTTTTAAATCCGTCACCAACGATTTAAGGTGTGACAGTAAACACGCTGTTTAAAGACATGGTCTTGTGTTACATGTGCGATCGTATCTGAGTGTGATGGGCTAAACCTGGGCCTTGTGTGTATGCACTGAGAAAGAAGGACTAAAGTCCCAGAGAGTTACAGTCCCAGTTAAACAACGTTTAACTAAAAACCTAGAGGTTGGAGTTCTTGTCAAACGGCATTTTGACTAAAGTCCCAGATTGGGTTTGAGTCCCAGATAAGGACAGGGGTCCGGGTGTCGTCCCTCCTGGTTGAAAAGGGGTGCGGGTTTTAATGTTTTTATCTTTTTTAATCTTTCTTTTTTTTCAATTTTTTATTTTATTTTATTTTTTCTGATTCTTACTGTTTATTCAATGTCACATGCTGTTTTTTTATTATGTAAAGCACTTTGAAATGCCTTGCTGCTGAAATGTGCTACACAAATAAAATTGGATGGATGGATGGATGGATGGATGGATGGATGGATGGATGGATGGATGGATGGATGGATGGATGGATGGATGGATGGATGGATGGATGGATGGACAATCTGAGCTGAACTCTGCTGTGTCTCTACTGAGGCTACTGTAATTCATCCAGCTGATGTCGGATGGTGAACCATTTGAGCAGACAGCAGAAGTAAGCAGACAGAAATAAGGGTAAATGACATCCACAAACACTCTGCTGATTTGCTCTAAATGGACTACAGAGACAATTGTGTGAAAGATGTCTTATAATGAACCAATGTATTGACTCGACACGTTTACAGTACGCCTTGCTTTTACTAGATTGGACCCCCTTCTGCTTGTAGAGAGCCTTAGTTATTTTAGCAGCTTTCAGTAAGGTGTTTAAAGCAGTCCCTGTTGGCATGATGGCATCACACAGAGGCAGAAAATGTATGCCTGGAAGGCACATCCATGAGGTGAATCTACCAAAGATGTTCTACTGGGCTGAGATCTGAGGAGGCCGTAGGAGTACAGTAAACTCACCCTCACAAAACTTAATTGATATGAATTGAGCTTTGTTCTGTGGTGCATTTGTTAAAGGGACACAATGTGGTCAAAACGGGCTGAACATGGTCAGCTACCATACTTAGGTAAGCTGAAGTGCTTAAACAATATTCAGTTATTGTCAAGAGGCTCAAAGTGTGCAAACATATATTCTTCACACCATTACTCCACCACCAGTCTGAACTGTTGATGGAAGGCAGGAGAGAGCCGTGATTTTATCCTGTTTACACCAAATTATGCAACAATACGAGACTGATAGACCAGGCAACGTTTTCTGCCGTCAGTCTGTGTGAATTGCAATCTCTGTGTCCCATTCTGTGGTCTTCTGCCACTACGGCCCATCTGCTTCAAGGTACCATGTGTGCTACGTTCAGAGAACGCCTTAGCTGGAACGACATGTTTCCATTGTCTTGATTTTCTCTCAACGTATTGGCGACATCAAAGTGACATATTTCCTCTTTAATGGACTGTCCTCTATAAACTAGAGAGGATGTTAAGTGTGAAAACCCAGAGCAGATTCTGAAATGCTCAGCCAAGCTGGCACCGACTCCACCTCGAAAGTCGCTTCAATCCCCCGACATCCTCAAACTGGTGCTTCAGCAAGCCACGTCAAGATGTCCGAGTTGCTCCCACGTGATTGACCGATACACAATATGCTAACAAGCACCTGAACAGGTGTACATGATGAGAGTATGCGCTCGGAGCGTGCCTTCCGTAAAAGCAGGAGGAAGACATATTTTCCAGTGGATGAATGATAAGTAATTTGTCCTTGGCAGACAGGATGTGGAAGCTGTTGCAGCTCCATGCCTCTCATTAACCTACCCACTCAAATCAAGACCTCAGTGTTAATGAGTGAGAGGGAAAGAGACACAGAGAGGAGAGTGATAATACAATTTATTTCACTCAAACTCCCTTTAACATTCATGTGCACTGCTTCAGCTAGATTATTAATTTACAGATAAATGTCTCTTTAATAGAAAAAAAAAATAGATTACCTGCTATTTAGATTACAGACATTAACACTATAGGCTTAACTGCTATTCCAAAATATAAAGAAACTGGAAAAATTACTTTCTTAAAAAAAAAAAACAACATCAAAGAGCACGATTTTCATTATAACAAGACTGTAAAAAGGCATTATCTAATAAACAAATCCGCACAATAGTGTGCATTTGCCAGATTGCGCTCAGATATGGAGTGCGAGGATCATTTCTCTACATCATCGCGCTCGCTGCTGTTACAAGGAAAGATGGTGACACAGCAATGAAAGAGTCCTTTTCTCCACCTGCCTCCTCTCCAACATCACGCCGCTCATGTTTTTATTTTTTTTTTTAGGCTCGCTCCATCTTTACTTCCAGGATTCCCCCGTCATGGACAAAAGCGTCGAGGGCTTTTATGGCTTGACAAGGTGATTATTGTCGCACAGGCGCATCGATGAACGGCAGCCAAATGGATGGAGAAAGTACTCACCTCCCACAATGGCGAAGAAAGCCAGCAGCAGCCGCGGCGGCAGCTGCCGGTGGTGCATCATCGTGCGCGCTTTGAGCCCGGAAAGGTGTTCACCCGGGATGGAGAGGCCACTCCAAGCGCACTCCGCAGTGTTGTTCCCCCACCTCCTCACGGCCCCCGAACCTCCTCTTTACTCTCTACCTGACATGGTGACGTCTCTCCGGTAGGGGAGGGGAGAGATGGGGGGGGGGGTATCTGCTCCTTTCCTTCCACGCCTGTCAGGGAGGGAATTAAGAAAAAAAAAGAAAAAAAAAAGGAAAAAAAAACAAACAGAAACGTGTTCTCGGTGCAGCCAGGTGAGCTGTGCGCTGAGCTGTGGGCTGCTGCTGCTGCTGCTGCTTCTGCTGCTGCTGACCGAGCCGAACGCCGCTTAGAGATGCGACGCGCTGGACAGGCGGGGGCGGGGCGCGCCGGGCACGATGGAGCAGCAGGGAGGGGAGGATGCACCTCAGAGCTCCACATCAGCCAGCCATGCCAGCGTCTCTGCTCACTCATCTCCATATAATATTAAGCACTCGCAGGCACGAACAGAATGTCCAATATTGACTTTCCAGTGACCTTGCCAAACTAGATGGCGTCTTGCCTGTTTTTCTGGCTGCTTCAAGTTTGATATCAGCCCTGGGCCAAATATCTTTTTAAATTTTATCATCTATAAATGATCTTTTTTTTTCTTTTTTTTTTCCTAATCGGCTTGTAATAAAAAAACAGGCTTGTTCCATATATGTTATATGAATCTAAATATTGTATATATTAAGTTTAGACTTCTTTTATACCTCTCATGTCGCCCTCTGACAAGATGCTGACGCCCTGTTAGAAACCACCACAGCATTTCCCCATTAGTTTTGCACAGCTACAAACCAAAACATTCTCAAAATAACTCAGTCAGACTGGGTGGAGAGGAGCTGTGAGTTCAGTGGTCAAACTAGTTTAAAATGTTTTCTATTCTTCAACAAACCACTGTCGTGAACTGAGATTATTTATTCCATTGAATCTGTTGGGACTCTATTTACAGATTAGGTAAATACAATATCTGAAGACATTTTATTGGATTTTATTTAGGGGTGTTAAATTAAAGAGGGTGAATATAAATTTAATTTTATGATTTTTTTTTTTTTTTTTTTGTAAAAGGTTTTGGGAAAACAAAAAAACCCCACGTGTCCTTTTCCATCTCACCAACATGCACTACTTTGTGCTTGTCTATCAAACTAAATATTGATCAAGTATTACTGTCACACATTTCCTGTTCCTCTTGTCTAAGGCTTCTGACTCAAAGTAACATGTAAAGAAGTTACACAGAAAAGTGGAAAAAATAGACAGGAGGAAGAAATGCATGCAAGAAATGAGTCTCAATGGTCAGGTAATATTGAAACAATATTAAATGAAACGTGAATCTCATCAAATTTGCCAGACCTAAAAAGGCCAGAGAAGACACAGGAAGTCAACGGTGTGTTGGAGGAACGTAGGGAAGGACTTAAGGGATGAATAAACAAAGTAAAAAGCAAGATGGAGGAGGCAGTTGCTGTGGTGACTAGGAACAGGTCCACCAAAGAAGCAGCCTGTCTCTTTTTCATATCATTTTCATCACACACACACAGAGCAGAGGCATATAGAACTAGCTCACCATGCAAAATGATTCCCATAATATATTCACACACATGTGCACAGAGGAAAACTCTTCCATGGGTTCATCTTTAAACCCTCTCCTTACAATCTCATCCTTTCCCCGCCTCCGCTCTGCAGTGAATGAGCTGACCTGACAGTGCTCCTCCCCTGCTCTGAGTGCAGCTAGTCTCCCCGTGAATTATTTAGAAGCTGGGACCCCCACAAGTGCTTGTCTTCCCCTAACACCCACTCAGACTCCTTCTCTCTTTGCTTTTTTTAAAAAAATTTTCTCCGTCCCTTCCTGCCCTGCTGTCATTCTGTCTTCGCGTTGCTGCTATTACTTCCTGTGACTCTGTCACAGCTGGGAAAACACAGTGCACAAATCTCATCGTAAGTCACAGACTGATTATCGGAGTAGGACAAATGAAGCAGAAGAATAGAGAGGCAGGAAACTGATTTTTATTTTCAGGACAGTTTTTATTGTTTCTCATTTATGTTTTAGAGGATTGAAGATATTTTATTTTTGGTTAGTGTTAATCTTGAGCTCAGTTGCTGCCAGATCAGCTGGAATGTTCCTCAGTAGTAGTTCTTCACACAGGCAGCATGGCTCACTGCCCAGGTCAGGCCTCTCTGGTAGCCCCCAGTTGAGATATTTTTATTCGTTGTCTGTAGGTTCACTCGTTTTGAAATGTTTTCCTGGCTGCAGGGGCACAGTTTGACATTTGAAGCATCATCTTAAAAAATATTTATTTATTTGTTTGCTTGCTTACTTACTTACTTAATTTTGGTCATTTGGTAGTTTTGGTTGTTTTGTACCTGACGTTTAATAGACCAAGATAATTAGACAAACCAGGCATCAGTTCATAGCCACTGCAGGTTTTGTACCAGGATTGTCAAGTGACTTAAGTTATTTTCTTTAATCAGAGCCGGTCCTAGCCTGTTTGGCACCATGGGCAAACCACCCCTCTGACGCCCCGTTCCCTCCATGAAGTTGCTGACCTTGAGTGTGGGGGTCAAGTATCATAAGTATCATTAGGAATGAAGAAGCGCTGGGTGAAATGACCCAGAACTGCTCCAGAATAAAACAGCATTGGTGTGTGATGATGCTAAAATATAGCACAGGGTCCATTGTGTAAGTTTAGCAGGTTACATGCTTACCAAGTTTTTGCAGGGAAACAACATAACCCTTAGGGAATGATGTCCAAGAAAGTAATAATAGTTAAGGCAATGATAGAATAGAGAGAGAAAGCCATTTTTATTTTACAATCTTACCATTTTACAATCTTTTTCTTTGTACAAAAACAAAAACAACTCGCTGTTGTGAGTATTTGCTAATTTGCCGATATTAAAAACTGTTTTAGACACTAGCAACAGCAGATATCAGCCTAAAATTCGTTTTGATTGGCAAAACCTTTCAAGCAGTGAACTGGTGGAGCTCTAAAGTGCTACTTTTCTAATTTCCTTTTGGATCCAACTTAATATTACTTAAAAAGAAACAATAATAAGGCTACAACTCTTCCTGCACTAATACTGTGGCATAGACACAATATGCCTCGGTGTTAATGCTACATTGCATACAAATAGGACCAACAATTGGGGATTGACTTTCCCTATTTAAGCTTCGTATGCTAACTCTTAAGTTGCTGTAACCTACAGGCACCACAAGGAGGTGCTGTAAGACTCATGTGTCCAGCACCCCAAGCCTCATTTTAGTTTTGCCCTGCTTTATAATTTAATTAAGAGAACGTACTCAAAACAAATCATTGTTGTGTAACCTTGCAATCTGTGACCAACTGAGACGCAGAATACCAAAGATGCAGAGTCTCTTCCTGACTGCAGAAGCTGACTAAAACAAGCGGCTTCGGACGGGTATGTTCTGGAGGCAGTCTTGCACTCTGACCCACCAAGGAGGTGTTGCACAACCAATGAAGCGACTCAAGGAGCTGACATTGACAGGAGTGTCTTGCTGGGCGATTTCTAACACTCACATCTCATATTGCAGCGGTTCATTCACAAACCATCCAGGTTTGACTGTGTGGGACCTACATCGCTACTATGGCTACAATTATTCATAGCTCTTTTCATACCGCAGCCTGTCTCTCCTCCCACTTTCTCCTCCCTCTCACCATTCCCTGTAGAGATGGCGCTACCTCACTCCAACTACTCACCATGGCAACATGGTAATCCCTGAACAGAAATATTCTCACTGCCTTACTCTCTTTTTTAGAGACACGGAGAAAAAGGAACAACATGTTCACACACACTCACTTACACATGGGTGCACAGAGTCACGCCTGCACAGTCATGCACACGCTCCGTTAGAGATGCTCATGCAACCCAGCACACTGGTGTTTACTGGTTAAATACATATTACCACAAGCCCATGACTTCGATAATTGTTGAGGATTCTTGCTGACTGTTCATCTGTGTGTGTGTGTGTGTGTGTGTGTGTGTGTGCGTGCGTGCGTGCGTGTGTGTGTGTGTGTGCGTGTGTGTTGGTGAGGACTGAAACAGCATCCACTAGAGAGCGGACAATTCAGTCTGTGTTGGTTGAACGTGAACCTCAGCAAAAACGTCTGCTGAAACATGTTATTAGAAAATATCTCTTTGGTACTTTTGCACCTAAAGTTATTCACTGTTCGCCTAGGGTGCTGTCAGCCGGCAGACATATATGGGCCTCATATGGGATACATAAGAGCAACCAATTTGGGTTCCAAAAAGGATTTTTTCCCCCCACTGTTTCCATCGTGTCCCTGCAGAGGTTTGCCCACGTAGTTTTCAGTGGGATCCAGGTAGCACTTGCTAGAAACACTGAAGGGATCCATGACCTCCCAGAGGTCCAGACGAGGAGGAATAGATTCGTATATGATGCATGGGCATGGGGGGTGTCAAGTTACAACATACAGTGCAATATAAAGCACGGAGGCTCTGAGTTACAGAAACTTTATTAGACAAAACACATCAACACAAAGACAAACAACAAAACGGGAAAAGAATGTTAAGAAATGAGAAAACAAAAACATCACATGATAGAAATTTAATCGCATAGCATCTTAGATACAAAAACAGCACGAGTATAAAGTGTTAACAATGTTTACAGTTTGGTTGTAGCCTACTTTTTGTCTTTTAGTTGTGCTTGCTGTTATTTTGCATCCAGAAAAGTAATTTTTTGTATATTTCTTTTTCTCAGTTTTCCAGTGTTTTGCCTGTTATTTCCAACCACAGGGCTCCAATATTAGCAACTTCCTTTTTTTAGCCTAAACTGCAGAGGCTTTAGTCCAGATGTGTTTTGCAGAGTTACACATGCCAAAACACTTTTTCTGACTGTGTTCTTGCAGTTTAATGAGAACTCCTCAGTTACACTCACTCTAATCATCCAATCAATAATGCTCATTCTCCTGACAGACAAAGAGGCCGGAAAAAGGAGTTTCAGGGCAGATCAATAGGCTCATTCACAAGTCAGGATACCTGAACATACTCTAATCAGGCATATTGGTCTTGCAGATGGGGCTTAACTGGATATAAGCAAGATAATTAATTATGTTGTCACTCTTTTTAGAACACTCCTTGAGGATTTTACACAGATCTTATAGTGGCTACTTTATATACGTGATTCAATTTGACATAGAAGTTTGTATGCATCATTAGGGTGGTCAGGTAATGTTATGTGAAGATTTTCTGTGAACTTATAGACAAAGCAATGAGTCAGATGCAACATAGTGTAACAATAAATTGGCCATCTTCCTGTTCAGGTCACAGATTTACTTTTTGGCAATTTTATAGAAGTAGGATGGACTAACATTGACCACTAGGTGGTGTATTGAGGCAATACGACCTCAGGAGGTACACTCGATCATTTATAAAGGAGAATATCCTGAAGTCTGTGCACAGATTTATTAAAATGTATTATCGGAGAGTCACGTGCAGTGGCCTGCTAATGCACTTCCTTATATTTCCTTGGTCTCTTCATGTTTTAGTGCTGGCGTAGCACTGGATGCTGCAGGGTCATATGTTCTGCTCCTGTGAAAGGCAGCCTGTGAGAGCAGTAGTGATAGACCAGCTCAGGGATGCTGGAAAACACACAGCTGCTCTGATCCAGGGTGTAGCCCAATCCCTTGCTGCTCTTAGTCTGGGCCACAATGATGTGAACACAACTTTGACTGGTCCTGATGGAGCCAAACAAAAACAGAGAAGAGAAACATATAAATAATACATATCCATGACTACACTCTCAAAAAAAAGAAAAAAAAAAGAAGACAATATTACAAGCAGGGGTCCTGAAACTACTGATGTTGTAAACTGGAAACATCATCAATCCCCTAATGAGGCTGTGTATCTCCTGAGTTCAGTGAATGGTTAAATGGGGTTAATGATGTGAACTCCCAAGTGCATGAGCAGTGTACAACAAATGGGCACTGAGGCGCATGAAGACACACTATTACTCAAATCGCATACATCCTCTCATTGTCACTGCAAGGCACACAGAGTGTGTGCACTGCACACAGTCTTGGTATAACTCTGGTAAAAGGAAAAAAAAAAAACATTAATAATTGTTCCCCTTATATTTCATCTGAGGATAGCAACTTATTAGAGAAATCTGCTGGCGACTGAAATCAGTCATTTTTCAGCTTGATCAGCCCTGACCTGTGGCTCTTTTTGTTTCCTGATCAGTAAATGCATCACACATAGGAATTACGAGATCATATCAACAATGACATTTTTGCAATGGACGCTATCACTCAATGAAAACACATTGCTACATTGTCAGGTTTTTAACACCAGAAAAGAGTTAAAAATAAAAAAAAAGCCAAGTTAAGCTCTGAATAAATTTTTTATAGATAATTTTCAGTTTAATCAGTCCTTATCATTGACTAGCTGGTGGAAAACTAAAGCAATCCAACGTTTTCTCCAATTAGTGAATGCACAACCAAATTTATTAACTATAGCGCTCTTTAATGAAGACACAGTTACTGAAATAAACTGATACAAAGTTTGCTGTTTTCAGTGTCATAAATGTTGCAAACTATTTAAAATAAAACTCGGTGATATAGAGACGTGTCTGCGGTTTCTTCAGGCTTTGAGACACAAAGGAGAGTAGGATAAAACAGGAAAACTGAATACAATACAGCAACGTTGCTCTGTTTTATACTTTTGAGGTCACAAAAAATGTCTGTCATTGAACACAACAGCTTTGCAAATGTTAATATCTTCAAGTTAAAGCAACAAACTGTAGCTTTTCTAGAATATCCACCCAAAGACTGCTTTTTAATTACTCCTAGTTGGGATGTAAAAGTAATTTCACATAAAAAAACAATACTGAAAACGGTTTAAAATGTCAATTCTGCAATAGATAAGTCATTTTAAAACAATAAAAACTGTTCTACTGCATCTGCTGCTTTCTTACCCTTTTTTCTAAAACAAATAATACCCACTAGCAGAAGGAAAACAAGAAAACCATCATATCTACCATATTTTGAATATTGTTCATCTTGTAATAAAGAAACATCAAACTCAGCTGAAATCTGTATCAGAAAGTCACATTAACAAAACCTGGAGATTGGAAGTTGGTCACAAAATTCTGATCAGTTCATCTCTACTTAAAATATTGCAAAAAAAAAGCTTAAAAGTGATTGAAATCATCGGAAACAATCACTTAGAGACTGAACATTCTGCATGCACTACACTTACATACATGCATTTACTTACTTTAGGGCGATGGAGTATTTACTAGTCCCTGATTCGCTGTCTCTGACCAAGAAGCTGGCTTCCCTGCAGCGCTGCAGCTGAGCCTCAGCCTGCTGTCGACTCACGCTGCCATGGTACCAGCTTGAAGAAGTGGATGGAAGGGGGTGGAAAGAGAACGGGACGAGATGCAAAGAGAGTAGATCACTATCATATAGCACAGCGACATCTGACATCTGTCAAATATTATGTAATGATCTGATACTGACATGTAAACACAAAAAAAGGAGCAAACAGGGGAAAATGAAGGACAAAAGTCAGCTGTAATTTACTGTCAACTCGATTAACTGTTTACAGTTTGGCAGATAAAGGCGATAATCATAAATGTAGATGTAAAAGGGTAAAGTGACTGTGACAACATAAGTGGCTGTGCGGCGTGTTCAGATCCATAGTGTTGCTGACAGCAGCTGCAGGCAAGCGACCTATATAAACACTAAAGTTATTCAAACACAGCATGAAAAAAGTAAATTCAAACAGGCTCAAAGCATGTTCCACACATTTAAAGAAAGGCCATGCTTAACCATATAAGGACAGCTTGACAGGCTTACAAGTAAAATAACACTTTTCGGCCTGCCCTTCGTTAAGGTTCACCTGAAGGTTTCGCCCTGAATCCTTTATTTACATTTAGCGTCATTCCATGAGGGAGAGCTTTGCTTCTGGTAACAAACAGCTAAAATCGCAAACTTTTTGCAGGGTAACATATGAATTTAGCCTTTTTTTTTTCTCTCTCTCTCTCTCAACTACATGTGACCTCATGACTTCCCCCGATAAAGCAAAAGGAAATTTGCTGTATCAACATCCATAAGGCAAATGTAGGTTTATTTAAGAAGTTATGACATGGCTACAAGAAAACAGTCATTTCCTTAAACTTGCCCATAACAATCAAAGAAATAATTACAATATTTAAAATAGGAATTATTACAAACATGGCTGGGAAGTGACCCAAGGTTATGTTCTTACTACACAGTGAGCAGAATGTAAATAACGGTAAAACTAATGGTTACATAGTCACAGTTGAAGTTGAAGAACAGCAGTAAAGAATGCCATCTTGTGGTTGTTAAGTACCTATAACAACCAGGTAGACAAGTCAGGAAAAGGCCTTTTGATGTCCAGCCATCGCTAATTGAACCTTTGCTGAAACTGGGTTCTTTGGTAAAATGTTTTATATCACAAACACCTTAAGTGTTTCTGGCACAAAACCAAAGATTAATATGTGGTAAAACATCACATTCCCACTGTTAAGCAAAGTGAGGAGTCTGTGATGCTGTGGGCTTGTTTCTCTTCTGAAGGCCTTCGCTAGAGGGCATAGTGTCTGAAATACTGCAAGGTTTCGTGTAAGAATGTACTCCCTTTACCAGAAAAATGAAAATAAATCATATTTGTCTTTTTTTTTTAGCGATAATTATTTACATCTGGCCCTAAGCTGGAACCATATGTTTGGTTCAGATAAGAGTAAAATGAAAAATTTTGGTAATGGACACTATGTGCTGCTGGCATAAAGTACATGACGCATTCAAGTGGATGATGAAATTTGGAAAAAGTCTCTCAAAAATTATAAAATATATAAAATTAGCCTTCCTCCTTGGCCATCTCGAACCTCAGACTCAAATCCTGCAAAAAAACAAAACAAAACAAAAAACCTGAACCCAGGAATCTTGGTGTACTGGGCAAAAAAGACTGATAAAAATGAGGCTTCTTGGGCTTTTTACATTTGTTTCAGGAGTGCCAGAGAATGTTGAGGTCCTGTTATGCCGAACGCATCATATTTACTTGCAGGTGCAAAATGACAGCTCTAAAGCAGGACTTTCATATTTTCATTCAGAGGGACAAAGCTATGACAAGAGAAGTCTAGCAAAGAGGTGGAGGATGTTATTGTCTTACCTCTGCTTCTCCAGGGGCAGACTGCAGTCCATTTTGGACATCTCCCCATCCAGAGGAAAACAGGGCAAAGTAGGTGATGGAGGGGACAGTTTAGTTGGACTGGACGAGGGTGAGAGGGGAGACAACTTGAGAGTGGGGTAAGAAGGAGACGGTGAGGTCAGAGGGGAGAGTTTAAGAATAGGAGAAGACGGAAAAGACGTGGAGGAGGAAGTTGACGCAGAAGTTGAGACGAGAGTCTTGTGGCTCCAGTTCCTTGCCTTCAGCGTCTGCTGCTGCTGCTGCTGCTGACGGCCAGAGGTTGCAGTATTCTCTTTACTGGAAGAGCAGTCGACGCCCTCAAACTGAGCTGAAACGAAGCAGGACAGATAATATCAACATTTCATAACAAGTCCTATCAAAGCATGCCAGGGATACTAAGTAAACATTTCCCTGGAAGTCCATTCAGAAACATAGTTTTGTTTCCTCTCTAAAGCAAACACAAAGCTGTTGTATAAAACTGCTGTATAAATGGCATTCTTCCTCCACGCCCCGGTCCTCCACCCTTCCTATCACCGCCTGCCTCCTTTCTCTACCTGACAATGCTCTGACAATGTCCTCCTTTCTCCACTCCCATGGCAGCTCATACTCCCCAGCCGGACGGACATCAGACTCTGGTCGTGTGACAGGGATCCACACGCCCTCGCTGTCGCCCTCCAGTCCGCCTTCGTAGGGCGTGTCGTAGATGTTAGGGGGCGAAGGTGTCCCGTCCTCCCCCTTCTCCTCTTTCTGACCTCGGTCCAACAGGACGCACACTTTCAGGAGATCTTTGGAGCCCCGCCGACGAACCTCTGTCATGGAACAGAGTCAAGAATTTCTATTTAACAAGACTGTAATATAGGGCCATGTGGAAACTCATTGTCAAAGTTTCTGTTCAGTGTCAGGGTGCGTTTGGACTGGGTTTTTTTGTTGTTGTTGTTGTTGTTTTTTTTAGCGTGGTGGGATGTTCGTACTACAAATAACTTCCATCACAAGTCCCTAATTTTCACTAATCCTGTCCAGTGAGATTGGTGACTTGTCCATGGCATCTTCGGACTGAAAATAGGCACCAGCATCCCTGAAACCTTCCAAGGATAAATGATTATAGTTATAGGAATATAGATTTTTTTCTCTCATCCAAACTGGGTCAAAATGCTAACTAATATTTGACCAGAAAAGCTTTCGCAAGATTTATCATGACTGAACTCACATTGACTTCACCAGACATTCTTCTTGTTATTATAACCAAATAGACCAATGATCGCCTTGCTTGACAGTAAAGCTTTTCTCCTAAAGACATTTGGTTTGCCCAAGTGGGGAGCTGCAAATTTCAATTAGGCCTACAAATGTAAATTTTGGAGCAGTGTTTAGACATCTCAGCAGAGAATGGCACTGCTCTTCCAGTCATGGTAATTTTTGGTCAGTGGCAGGTTTCAGGTTTTTGAAGTTAGTTAAGGGACATCTGTTCAAGTATTAGTGAAGATTCATGGATATTTTTAAGCATTTATGTGAAACATAGGTCATGTATGAATTAGTCCAAAAACTCCTCTCCAAAGTTCATATTAGATCACCTAATTCTTGTTTTGGAGATGTAGCAGTGTTGCCTGTTAACTGTGACCATTCCGACTAAATAAGGAACAGTTCCACTACATTATCAAAGATCAATATAAAATTTCCAAAACACTATATTTTTGTAAGTAAGATCAAATAAGGCAAAAGTGTGCCTGATTAGGAATACATTTATGACTGACTTTGTTGTTACATTTTTCAATTACATAAGCAGAGCAACGTGATTATTTTGATATTCATCCGAAGACAATTATCTTCTTTCTTTTACTAAAATGTACTAATTGGGCACTGCTCACATGCATCTTGTTCGGGGGAATTTTACTTATATTTCCTCGCAGCCTGACAGGTAGCCTGTGTGTCTGCACTATTGTGTGACCAAACAATGGAGTTACAGGAAGAAAAGGTCAGCGCCGTTGCTGATTGGCTGGGTGACTGCACCACTTCCTGACTGCTGGGAAGTGATTGGGTTTAGGACCAGGAGAGAAGTGGTGGTGGGATGTGAGGGGTGGCGGTGGTGGTGGGGGGGGACCCTTTGGATTGTTGTCACACACACGGGGGACCATGAAGTGTTAGATGTGTCTGCTTCTGTGTGTTTGTATGTGTGCAGGGTAGTTGGAGTGCAGGGGCACATTTAGAGCCAATGTTCTATCAAGAGAATGGGGCAAAGGAAACAGAGGCAGGAGACAGGAAGCTGGAAGAGGAAGCTGCACCCATTGTCCCTGCACAACAGTGTTACTATAGCAGCCGCCGGCCAGGAGGAAAGTCTTTGCACAGACAGAGGGTATAGTTTGGCTCCAGGTCCCTTTAAAAGTCATTATTTGGAAAGACGGTGGGACAGGGTGAACAGAGGAACATGTAAACAATGTACTGTTTTCATGTGAGTGAGTTTTGACTTATTCTGTTGAATCGTTTTCACAAATTCGATGATAATTAATGAGCTGCATGCTCATTTAGTCAGGATGCCACCTTAAACTCTGAGATAAAATTATAATTGCTTTAAAAGATGTCTTAACTCAAACTCACCTGTGATGATGACCTGGGCGTCATACGGCTCCATGTAACCATCGTTCACCCCTGCTCTTTCCGCCTCTCGCTGCTCTTTGGTCTTCTCTGCATCAAAAGGATCTGCATAATCCTCCAGGATTATCAACTGTGAAAAGGAAGAACCAAAATGAAGGCCTGCTATTTCTCTGATGAAGCTTTTCAGAAGAGAACATTAGGAATCCAGGACCCAATGAGTGTGTGTGATTGCGTGTGTGTGCATGTGTGTGGTGTCCATAACTGAGTGACAAGTAATAGAGGGTCAAGCGGAAATGTTTGTGCAAAGAGGTCAGTGCATTGTGTTTGCCTGTTTGATGTGACACAATGTAGTAAAACTGCATTGTGTTCTTTTGAGAGGGATGGAAATTGAATATGAACTGAGGTGAGGAGGGAGAACACAAAGAAAAACGCTCAAAACTTTATGAACTGATGCCTTTCAATCTAATGCTCCTTTGTTTGCTTTTGTTTGTAAAGAAAAAAAATCTCTTTTTTGTGTTTGCTTTGGTTTTATTTTAACTTGAAGATCTAGAAATAACAATGACAAATAATAATTCACTTGAACAAATGTCCCTTAAGTAACTTCAAAAATTTAAATGGAAAGAAAATGTATTTGGTAAAAATTTTATGTTTTTTTTGTTGTTGTTGTTGTTGTTTTAAACATTGTAAAAAAAAAAATTAAATTAAAAAAAATAAAAAAACACCTTGGACTTTTGTCTGTTTTTGTTATTTTTTTAAGATACTGATAATAAGGTACAGTATATATATATATATATATATATATATATATATATATCCTTTGGGTTTTATTTGCAAAGCAAAGTCAATCGGAATTATTTTTGGTACATTTAAAATCACATTTGGTTCATTTTTTTATTTTTTTTTCATTGTTTCCGTTTTATTCGCAAAGAAAACGTAGGAAATTTTAAAATATATATATCTATAGTTTTTTTTAAAGCTACATTTGATACATCTTCCTTCTGTTTTGGTTCAGTTTTTTAAAGAGAAATAGGAAAAAAAAGTGCATTTTTCTCTGCTTCAGTTTTGTTTCAAAGTAAAACCTGTGGCAATATACAGTATATATATATTTTAATTCCACTAATTCTAGTAGCATTTAGTTCAGTCTGAAGTAACTCACCGTAGTTTTTATGTCTGACTTTCCCTTCTCGTTCTCGGATAACTTCTGTTCACTTATCCCATCGAGTTTGGGGGTCTTGTCCTGCTTGTCCACTTTGATCATCCTGCTGATGTACGCCTGTGCCAGACTGGAGCTCCTCACCGGACGGTTTTCATCTGGCGCCCCATTCTCAGTTTTGGAGTTTTTTCGACCTTTCCCAGTGGTCAGGCTATCCCAGACAGTTCCTCCATAACCTGCGTTTTTGCTACCCAGCTCTGTGGCAGAGTTTTTCCTGTTTCTCCCAGCTAACAAACTCCCCACTCCTCCATCTTTGCGCTGATTTCCCTTCAAACTGTCCCGTGAAAATGTGGGCTTGGGTCTAGTTTGTGAACCCGACTCAGAGGCAGAACGGACTCTCTCAGTTCCATTTTTCAGGTTGATGGGGAAATCTCGGAACCATTTTGCCATGATTGCACTTGTCCGAAGTTTTAAACGCCAGTAGATCCGTGTTCTTCAACTTTTTCTTGCATTAGGCTAAGCTTTGCCCCTGCGTAACAGCTCCAACTTTTACGCACGCTTATTTCGCCTACTTTGACGTCGAGATGACTTTGGCATGCAGTTATATCTAGCGAATCCAACTGTACCAAGCGAGGTTTTTGGGCAGTGTGATGGTTTCTTGCGCTGGACACTTCCTGGGGCTCTGGTGCGTTCTTGGACAGGTTTTCTCGTCAGAGCCTGTGCTGTGGTCACTCTGCACCTGCAGCGACAACTATCCCTGCAGTTTGAAAAGCAGCTTCTGCAGAGCGAACACCCGAAAGAACTGGAAGTTTTTCTTTGAACTCAGTAAAGATCCCATTCCCAGACCGTGAGATGCGGGTGCGTCCAGTCAGCCAGTCAAGAGAAGTGATGAGATGGAGAGACAAGCTGCTGTGAACGGATAAAGCTAGAGTGGTGGGGAGGAGCTGTGTGGAAGGGGCGGTGTGGGAGTGAAAGTCTTCAAAGTATGTCCACAGTCAGGTTGTAAGGAAAAAAAGTAGCAATAATAACCATTTAAGGTAGTGTCAGCGTCAGAGTGCTGAAGGCCTGTGAGAATCTACTATGCGGGATTCTGCAGCACCTCTCCAACCTGGGACCATGATTACCTAACAAGCAGAGCTCATAAGACAAACAGGTTTTGTCTCTGATTGGATTGTAAGCAGCACTGGAGCGCCATTGGAACTGTACTCTCCCCATTTTATTTATTCTGCACACTTAGTATTTTCAGTACAACGCAGAGTGAAGTCATTACTTGAAATTCGGCAGATGCTGAGTGTATCAGAGATGTCTGAGTGCAGGCAGAGAGCTGGTTGACTGCTTTTTCACACGGTGCAAGGATGATAATCTGGATCTGAACTTGACAAAAGCGATTATGTAATAAATTTCCAGTGACACGGAAATATGTCAAGCATAAATGGAGAAGAAGAGGAGTTTGTGGAGAGATGTGCCTTGCCGTCACTTCTTGGGGAATCAGATGTGAACCCATCTTCAGTCATCTGTTGTGGTAGCATTGACTTAAAAAAGCTGAACATGCTGATAAACAACACTGGCTCTGTTCTTGGGTGTGGTTTTGAGTCTGGAGATGTTTGTGCAAAGCATGTTGCTTCACTGATGAAGCCCTGAAAATAATGTTTACAAAACTATAATCCAATAATAATGTCTGTAATCAGACAATTTACTTAAATCTTTAACTACAGTAGACCATTGGGGACCTTTCCTGGCCTCTTTTCATCCAGGAAAGACTCTTATGAAATTGTCTTTATTCAATGACTCAATGCCCAGGAAGCAACAACTTCAGCATATTTTCCTTCCACTAAAGATAGTAATAGCACTTCTGTGGACACCCAATGTTTATTAAATGTATCAGTCTAAGAGGTGAAATAAATTCACTTTTACATGATATATTAATTTATCTGGAGGCACCTGAAAGTTGTTTTATTCCATGTTCTTCAGCATTAGGTCATGGCAACAAGAACTGTAGATGTGAAACTCTTAAGAAGAAGGTTACATGTGTAGTAGTTTATTGGAATATTATTTTATACACTGCCCATTTATTGAAATTCCCACTGGTGTGCTGTCAAATATGTAATTGTGTGATGGGACAAGTTTTTTGTTTATGTATTTTTGCTGTCAAAAAACTTATTTTAGGCTCATATTCATATTTGTTTTAACTTCTGTTCACTTTAAGTTTTATTGTAAATCTAATATGTGTGATGTATTGGACAGTGGTGCATATATGAGAATATTTGCGCCATCTAGCGGACAAATTGAAGAAGTAGTCATTCTAAAATTAAATTGTGTCCACCTTGAAAATCATCGATGTTGCAGTTCATCCTGCAACAGATATTGTCCATTTCAGTTTACTTGTGGTAATTTTTCAAGCTTTCAAAGTAAATGTCCAAAAATTGTTTAGAACGAGCTGGATGACTGATGTAAAGGTTTACCAATGAAGAGATGGCTAACACATCAAACCCCGCCCATTCCAGAGGATTGGGCCAATCAGAGAACTCGATTTAATGCGAGTGGGCGGCACGTCTTTTTCCCGAGAAAAAAGGTAACAGGTTGCAGTTCCAGCAGCAACGTAATGAACTTGTTTGTGCGGTCGTTTGCGAAGGAGTTGCTTTTCCACACACCTTTTGTGTGGACTTTGATGGATGTCTGGGAAGATATTTAAGGAATCTCCGGCGACGAGACGAAACAAAGCATAAGAAGAGAAACAGAGGAGAGACTTTAAAGAAAAAAAAGGTAAGTTTCGGTTGGAACTGGATCTTCTCGAAGCGCCAGACGGGTCAACCAGACAGTCGGTGTGATTTCCCGACAGTTATACGCTTTAGCAGGGATTTTATGTAGTTTGTTCCTTTTTTAGACGAATACAGTAGATTACAATGAGGCTATGTTTTTATTTATTTACAAGTTCAACTTGTTAGCTATTGAAAAAAGTAACTAAATTAGCCTTTTGATATCTATTAACTCTGTGAAGTGAAACAACCAACTCTAAACGGTTAAGTTAAAGCTGGAAGAGTGATTATAACCGTATAATTGTAAAATAGTTCGTTTTTAAAATGTAAGGAGTGTAAATATCCATTGTATTTGTACAGGAGTATGGTTGCGGAGAGGGAACAAACCTGCACACCTGTGCTTTTAGAGCAGCGGTTCTAACATTTAGGGTCGGGAACACACTGGGGGTCACAACTCAACAAGTGTGGGGTCTTAACAATTTCAGAAAGTGGTAACTCTAGAAATGATCAAATCAATTGTGACATAAACAGTGCTAAAAAAAATGAGTAAAAACAATTAATTGGCTCTTGATGCTGCATGTAATTTTGTTATACTGCCGTTTAATAAAGTGTTCACACAGCTACACTTCTGCCTATTTAAACAATAGATTGTGTTTCTGGTCTGTGTTTTATGGTCAACATGGCAAAAACTGCAATTACTTAAAGGTGCCTTTAATTACACTAAACTACTACATATGTTCTGAAATGACAATAAAAAGATAAAATATTATAGTTACTGAGAAACTGCACCGCATCCTTATTTAGCCAATGATTAATGTAACAGTTTATCATTATTATATCAACATATCATTCAATAAACTGTTGTATATTGGTTCTACTGAATGGTAGGACATGATTGAAACACAGTTTCATACAGTCAGTTTTACACTGGCCAAATTTTTACAACACTTTAAAATGAGAAAATCAAAATCCTGTCAGGAAAAAAGTTTTCAACTCATTTTTATTCTGTCCTAAAGAACATCTGTGACAAAATTCAAGTGGCTTTACAGTTCTATATTGGTTTAACAGTTAAATGCCACTGACACTTGTACTGACTGCTGTTTCTTTATATTTTGTGTCATTAAATGAAAACGGGTTATACAAGCAAATCTGAATTGAATTTAGACATTCAAGATGGGTAAATCCAGATTGGGCTACTTTGTGATTAATGTTTGATTTTATTATTTTATAGTATTTTAAAAAATGTTTATGTTTTTGATGATTTTTTTTACAAAAAAATTCATTTTTTACAATGAATTTTTTTTACAAAAAAATTCATTGTGTACCATTTTTAAAAGTAGCTTTAATCCCATTTTATTAAATGAAAGTAAAAATACTACAGTAAAACCACCTGAAAGAGCTTTTCTTTAGAATGTATTGAATTAGATGGTTAGAAAAAGGAGGAGGATGCAATAAATCTCAAATTATAGTTTTGAGGTAGGGAAGGGCTTACAAATTGGTGTCACACATTTCACTGAAAAAGCTTCTGAACCTGGCAAGATCCTGATACATTTTTTTTTTTTTAATCCACACCTACTTTGGCACAAATCAAACTGGTCTAACATGACAAGCAGTAGATGCTGTTGAGCGTATCTAAAGATCCCACAAATCGGCCTCTTGGTACAGAGGCACAAGTGTCAGGAATGTGAGGGAAGAGAGGGCCATACTTATGTGCTTCTAATACGGTGTCATTTGTGTACTGTGTGGCAACACTGAAGTCAGGCTTTGTCATGCCAATGAACTACTTTGGACATGAAAAGGGGAATAAATGGACATTTGTGTGTGTGTGTGTGTGTGTGTGTGAAAGAGGAGTAGAAACTAGTTTGGAGAGGGGACAAGGGTTTGGTTTTATGTCAAGAGTGTAATTGAGAAGAAGAATATCCCTCTGCAGTAAGTGGATAACTGTTCACTAGGAGCAGAGAGGGAGTTCTGTTACTTTTAACCAGTCGTTGACGTTTCAAGTCATTAATATTTCGCTCAGAAGAAAAAGGAAAACCACTTAGAGATGGTTTAGCTTTTATTTTGGTAGTTTTTCACCCGTTATAATGAAAGACTGTATTGGCTGCCTTTCCCTTTTTATGGTATTTGACCTGCTTTGCTCATTCCCAGTAGAGAGATGCACGTTCCTCGAAATCCTGCTAACGGAGCGATGAAATCACAGAAAGTGAGGAAAGAAGAAAGCAGGCGTATTGCAGATGATATTGCCATTGCAATATTTACCAGTATAATTGACATCACAGGATTTTCTCAGTTTCTCAGCCTTAGCAAACACGATCTTAAGTTAAGAAATTTCTCAACATAAAATCATAAGCATTCAGAACAAAACATATGTTCATTAATATCTGTTTTAGTTGTAATCAGAACATTGTAGTGGCTTTCTTATTCTAGTTTGTGGTGGATCAATACGTTTAAGATTTCCAGACAAAATTTTGGATTAAGATTAAATATGTTGCTCTTAGAAAACCAGTGAATGCAGCACAATAAAAGGCGTTTTTAACTTTAAAGCTGTTTGTATTAAGAATGTTAATTTACTGCGCTTTAAAGCTACTCAGTTGACCAGCATTATCATGGCATTCATTTTCTTATCTTTGATGAAGCATCAGGCTGATGTTGGTGAAATACCTAATCCTTAAAGACTCGATATGGCATCGGAACAAAAAAAAAAAAATCCTGATCAGACAGGAGTAATCCCCACTCTACTCTGATTATTAAAAAAATAATCAATGAAATTGGTGGGGGCTCAGTTGCATACGTTCGTCTCTATGACCTTTTACATGGTACAAATTAACACTTAAATATGATAGTTCATAGATTTTTTTTTTTTTCTGCTCCAAATATTGTTGAGTTGGATGTCGACATATCACCTTCATAATAAAACTTTGGCACAATTAACATGTACAAAAATATGACAGACTGATGAGAGAAAAATGAAAATGTTGGATCAGAGGATTTATATTTTGACTGTATGTCTCAGCATCATTCGTCACTCTGGGTCTCTCCGCTTGTTGACAGTCTTCCCCTTATTCTTTTTTCCTTTCCCTCCTAATAGCAGGGTGGCTCCAATTCAATTTACTGTCTGAGAATTAAATTAGCGATCAGAGGCAGAGATCATGTCAG